TAATTGTCTGTCTTTATCTGTTCCTCCATTTTTTCTTCCGTACCTCTAGCTGTAACAAGCATGAATTATTTCGAATTCTTTTAGAAGGTTAAATAAAATTCATCGATTCTTGGTAAATTATTCGCGAGCTTTCCAATGATGTACTGCTTGTTACGGTTATTCACTATCCGTGGAAACTTCCAATAAATTCGATGAAATTCTCCAACGGCGCGGCGTCAGATTTTTTTCTTCTTAATGTATGGTTTGTTGGGGTTATTTGCAATCAGTAGAAACTTCCAGAAAATTGAGCGATGGAGCGTTCTGGAATATTCGATGGAATTCTTCAAAAACCTTCATCAGTCGTCTTCAGTTTTTTTCTATTCTTTTAATCAACACCATTATTATTCAGCACTATATCACACACTTTGTCGATTCTTCGATGTATATTGTCTCCTTTGTCACTGTGTATGTTGAGTTGTCTACACGTGACACTGTATGTTGGGTTGCCTAGTTTAACAATATTAAACATGGAAAACTAAAGGAAGAAGAATTAATACAATGCCTTATAGCTTCTATTAATAGAGAACCATTAAGCTTTTAGGAAACCATGGAATTTAGAGAAGCTTCTATTTGGAATTCAGCAATTAAAGATGAATTAGATTCGGTGAATAGAACCACGGTACGAAAATTAGTAGATAGAAACGAAATAAAAATAGTAAATCCCAGAGAAAGATCATAAACTCGAAATGGGTATTTAAAAACAAGTTAGAAGCCGATGGATCCACAAAACACAAAGCTGCGTTAATTATTAAAAGTTATAAAGTTAGAAACAACTACAATTTAAAAGTGACATATGCAATGCTTCCGGTGATTAAAAAGTGTACTTGCAACAATAATCAATGTTGCATCTCATGCAATAAATATTGTATTATTTTATTATTCGTAGATATTTTTGTATAAATTTAAATTCTATAGCCGGCGTGAGAAAGGNGGGGTTGCCTGCTGGAAGCACTTTTCGAATTAATTTTAAACAGAGGGTTGACGCTGCCAGAAGAATTCTTAGCCGCCAATGTATATTATTTGTCTAGTGGAATGAGAGCGCTTCCTGTCGGCATTGCGGAGTTCAACCCCCTTTTCTTGTGAACTGCCACTAATATCCAAATGATGAGCTCTAACTACTGAACTATTTGTAGTACAGTCGATTACCAAAATAATAAAACGAAAATTTCTGTAGAAGTTTCGGTTCCATCAGAGCGACGCAAAACTCAAAAAAAAAAAATACTAAACCGAGCCGTTTCTGCCCTGCTGGAAGAATGCTCGTTGAACATTATATCATTAAAATATAATATAATTTATTCCAGATAAAATGCTTCGTCAAGACTTCTTCTTCGGTAATGTCCAAAAACTTCAAGATTGTCACAATTCATACCCATATATTTCTTATAGAACAATTGTACTCCTTATTCCTAATTTGCTACAGTCACAGTATATTTGGCAATTTTTTCAAGTGAAGTTTTCGGGGCAGGAAGGTTTATCATATGGATAATATTTTGAACAAGCACGTTTATCATTAAAATTCATTATGATAATTCATTTATTTAATAAAATTAAATTCCTAGAAAAAGAAATGTGGGATATACTCTATAAAATGTATGAAAATAAGTCCGAAACAAGCATATATGCATGTCGCGACAAAATTGTTCCAATTTCCAAAAGCATCCCGGTGATGATATTACAATCCTCATACCAAGGGTAAAATTTGTGCTGCAATAATAATATGTTAATAACAAAAATCGGAATTATTCTACCAGAGGAATATAATCATTTTGCCCCAACATGGAATCAACTGACAGAGCACAAACACCATTGATAATGCCGGTAACATCTCCTTTAGTTATGGAGTAAACTAGAAAAAACTCAACAAAAAGATTGAAGCGTTACCTAATCTATATATATAAAAGAAGGTTGTTTTAGTTATACTATTTATAACTCAAGAACGGCTGAACCGATTTGGCTGAAAATTGGCGAGGAGGTAGCTTACAACCGGGAGAAG